GTGAAAAGTTCAGTCCAGAGCCAGGCCAAGATGAAAGGAAAGCACATGAGGTATAGATGAGAAGAAAGATAAAAGGAGAATTGTGAACACTAATATGAGCAAAATTATCTCAGTAACTTTAAGATATTAAAGTGTGTGCCTGTATACACAAATTGAAGATTTAGCTAGGAAAAAAAAAGTAACAGGACTAGACAGATAATAAAGTGGAGAAAATTTTGTATCATAAGTAAAAGCCGGGGGGAGGATGATATTGAAAGATATATTTTATTTTGAAAAGACATATAAGAAAAGTAAAAGAGTTGCCACAGCCTTGTTGGTAAAAGAGGATTTATTAGCCCCCATGAAAAGAGACTGGGGAGAAATGGCTAATCGTGTTGAGTCATTATATACTGAGCTTGGAGATGTTTCAGACAGTAAACTAAATGTTATAGGCCACCTGACCAAAAAGAACAACTGAACTGTGAAATGACTGAGCAAATAAAATGATACATATTAAAAGGGGAGTGATGGTAAGTCAGCAATAACATAGGAAAAAACACGTAGTTATGGTGAAGTCTAATCATGTGATACCAGAGGCTAAAAGACAAGGATTTCAAGCTGCAAAGGTAAATTTTGATTAGAATAAGAACTTAAAATGTAATTATCATGCTGAAGAAATTGTATTTTTTTTCTTTAAATCTATCTCTCTCTTTTTAAACTGCAGTTTGCTATTTCAGTATGGTTCTTTCCCCAGAAAAGACAACTCAGAGGACAGCACAGATTCTAATTCTCTTTTCTGAGTTTCCTGTTCCAGTTTAAAAGCTTGTGGGCTCATAATGATATTCAGATATGTCATACATAGATACTGTTATTTAAATATGTCATGAAATTAGTAGCTACTTTAAAGTTTTATTCAAATGCTCATAGTTCAAGAATTCTACATAGCTAGAAACAGATTTGGATGCTTTAACAACAGATAAGTTACGTTTATTAAAAGGCAGTTTAAGAAAACTTATTTTTTATTTACTGGAACTCAGGAAATTCCTAAACTCAGTGATCTGAATGCGTGCCCAAGAGCTTGGCCTAATCAGTCTTTCTACCCCCTTTTTTAGTCAGTCACTCAGTCTGTCTCTGCTCACTAGGTCAATAATACATTCTTGGACCCAAGCCAGGATTGCAGTTTGGCACGGATTAAGTTCATAGTCAGAACTACAGATCATCCATACAATCTCTGGATGCAGAAAGACTTACATGTGAATGGTCAGCCTGCTAGCTGCCATAAATTTGTAAATAAAAACCATGCAAATTCCTTCAGTTAGGTTAGAGAAGATGTAAGAGAGGATAAGATTTCCTTTTTTTTTTTTTCTTCCCCTTTTCTTTTGGCAACAGACAATGGGATCCTAAGTAATTCATTGTCAGAAACTGTTTTAACATAAAAGGATGCTGGCTTTATTCTTTACCTTTCTTTGCCGTCTTTTGCCTGCATGTAGTCTGTTTTGTCTCTGTTTTTATTGTCTGAATCCACCCTTATCAGTTAAACAGAGCAATGCAGCTAGTAGTAATATTTAACTCATAGAATCACTCAGGTTGGAAAAGACCTTAAGGATCATCGAGTCCAAACTCATGATTGATATATGTGAGGCAGAAATTTGTGTCTGACATTTCATTCTCTATATGGCTTGTGGTCATTCACAGAGAATGGATCTGCCATAAGAAGCAGCAACCATCTGGGGCCATAATGTTCTGATACATTCTGTCACTCAACAAAAAGCACTAAGGCATACAAAACTTGAAATTCCAGCACGTGATTAGAAGGATGATATTTACTATGTGCTGATGAACATTGAAATTTTGATGGTGTAGATAATGCCTCCAGGAATACATTAAATAACAAATTTTTTAGTTCAAAGCAAGGAAAATCATAGAATCATAGAATCGGTTGGGTTGGAAGGTACCTTGAAGACATTAGTTCCCACAACCCTGTCTTGAGCAGGGTTGCCACCCACTGGATGAGGCTGCCCAGGACCCCATCCAGCCTGGTCACTTAACCCAGCAAAAAATTCTCAGGCAAAAAAAAAAAAAAAAAAAAAAAAACCCAAAAACCAGCAAATAACAACCTGCCAGCCTAGCAGCCACAGTTAAAGAGGTTCAGATTTGCCACATGTGGAAAAAGTAACAATTAAAAAAAAAAATACATTTAAGCTAATTACACACTGTAGCTTTCATATAAAATTGAGACTATAAGGAGAAAAACAGTAGAACCATACCCAAATGAAAAGTCATGTTAATGCAGGAAAAGACATTGATACTACAGGTGCTGGCTAGAAATGTACATGATAGACATTAGAAGAAAATGTGAAATGTAAATTTTAAATAAATACAGAGAAAAAGATAGAGGTCACAGTGTATAAATCAAAAGGTTTTAATAGCTGCATGACTTAGGCAAATGATCCATTGTAGTGAGCAACTCCAACTATTGGTATATCAAAGAAAATGTAAGATATAGTTCCTATTTCAGCTATGTTAATGGTTATTGAGAGCTGTTCACTAAAGAGTCAAGTAAAATAACTGTCAATTTTAGGATTACCTGTAAAATGTTAAAGTCATTACTTGTGCTCATTCAGAACCAAACCCTTTTATTTCTCTTCACTGAAACAAGGGTTATATTTTTTGAATCAACATTCTATCACAACTTATAATTTCATTTAAGAATTTCAAGAGAAAAAAAAATGTTCATTATACACCAGCTCCTAACATTTAATGCAAGCTATAACTCTCTAATGTTCACATTTGAAAGTGAAGAAACTGAGGAATATTTGAATTTTGAATTTATTCCTATGCTAATGTTTTTGCTTTATTGATATGATTTAACAGTATTGAAAGTGCCATCTGAAGTATGAAAACGTATGGGGGCTACAAAAAGGGCAAAAATCCTGAGGACCATAAGCTCTTCAGAGCACAAAGAAAGAGAGTAGAAGAGAGTGGGATTAGAGTAAGGCATAGGGGGAGGAAAAGCACAATTCACAGTTTGATGGCTTTTTAAAGTGGGACTAGAATATGAAGAAAGAAACATGGGAGGATATTAGACATGACAGTCCCACAAAATTTTATTTATTACGATATGAACAGTTGATATGTGGGCTATAATTATAAGGACAGGTGAATTTCAGTGCTAGTATTTTATTAGGTCTGTGATCATCATGCACTTGCCTTTGTCTTACTCTAAACAGTACCACATACAGATTGTTCAGTGTTTGTTTATATTTAACTATTCAATGTTTTCTATTAAACACCAATTACAAAATAATTTTTCCTTAGTAAAAAACAGTTTTCCACAGATTCTTTGAGGAAAATACTGACTAGAATAGTGGCCTGAATTCCTCGATAATCTAAGAATGTTATCATAAAAGAATAAGAAATAAAAGTTATTTTGAATTGAAGAAAATACTATTGGTGACATCAGGACATCCTTGATTACGCCAGAAGTCCTAGAATAAGAAGTCAAAGTTAAAAGTTTCAAAGACTCATTCTCATTTAAATTTCTACAATGGGCAGGGAGGAAGTTTCTTTTCCAAACAATAGGGAAAACAGTAACTACTTCTAACTCCAGAGCCTGGGAATAGATGTTATTAATATATATGCTTATTGTTTAACTGAAAATCAATTATCAATAAAACCAGCATGATAAAGATTTTTGTCTCAGATCAAATGCTCTGCTGATTAGATCAAGAATCATAGAGTCCTCAAAATTGGAAGGGTCCTCTGAAGACCATCTAGCCCAACTCCCTGCAATGAACAGGAACATCCACAGCTAGATCAGGTTGTCCAGTTCCTGTTACAGCCTCGCCTTGAAAGTCCCCAGTGTCAGGGAATCATCCACAACACTAGGTAACCTGTTCCAGTGCCTTACCACCCTCACTGTAAAAGATTTTTTGTTTGTATCTAACCCTAAATCTCCCTTTCCTGAGCTTGAAGCTATTTCTCCTTGTTGTGTTGCCACAGACCTTCCTTAAGAGTCTGTCTCTTTTTCAGGGGAGACCTTATTGCTCTCTATCACTGCCTGAAGGGAAGTTGTAGTGAGCTGGAGGTCAGCTTCTTCTCTTGTGTAACTAGTGATAAAACTAGAGGGAATGGCTTCAAGCTTGCCAGGGGAGATTTAGGCTGGGCATTTGGAAATACTGCTTTTCTGAAAGAGTGGTCAGGCGCTGGAATGGGCTGCCCAGGAAGGTGGTGGAGTCACTGACCCTGGAGGAGTTCAAGGAACATTTGGATTTTGTATTGAGGGATATGGTACAGTGAGAACTATTGGTAACAAGTGGATGGTTGGACTGGATGATCTTGTAGGTCTTTTCCAACCTTGGTCTTTCTGTAATTCTGTAGGTCTCTTTTAGATATTGAAAGACTGCTATCAGGTCACCTCGCAGCCTTCTTTTCTCCAGACGGAACAGCTGCAGCTCTCTCAGCCTGTCCTCATAGGAGAGGTGTTCCATTCTGTGGATATTTTTTCTGGCCCTTCTCTGGATGTACTCCAACAGCAATGTGCTTTAACATAGCGGTTTCCAAAAATATAAGTCCACAAGCAATTTCTGTGAAACTACAAGTCAAAAACTAAGGATAATCCTGACAGTTTTCTACATATAAGCTAGGAACAAACTGCTTTCTCTGTCAGTGTCTTAACTTTAGGCAGTCCTTTGGGATAACAGTACTGCAAAGGTGGTAGCTACATAAATCAATCACACTCGCAGTTCTTACTGAGGACAGTCTTTCAGCCTATTTGGATGATTTTATCTCGTGCCCACTTCTCCTTCCATCTAAATGGAGCTTTCATTTCTTTCTGAGGTAATCCACCAGACTTCCTTTTCATAAAAACACTTCTTCAAAACCTGCTTATTTTCTGATGCTCACAAAAAGAGTTACCAGTTGTATAATCAAAGGATATCAAGATGCTACAATCACAAAATAAACAAGAGAGTTAGGCAAAGTGGACAATGATAACAAAAGAGAATAAATGGAAGGCTTACCCTTAGTTGGACTCACCACAAAACACCAGGAGGGATCTCCAGAC